CCGACCTTCGCTCCTTTCCGCTCTTATAACTCTCGACCAAAACATTTCCCCAGCATGCGGTAAAGAGCCAGAGGGACTAAAGAGAGTCAGGAACAACATATCAGTTTTTCATCAAAATAAAAAAATGGCTTTTTTTTAAATCGGCCCAAACGTGAAAAAATAAGGGGTCTTTTTTGAGCGTTCCGGCGCTTCGGAGGCGATAACTCGAGCTGAAGTTGACAAAACCCTATGATGTTATACATTTTCTGAAAGCTCTCGTCACGCTGAACACGCTCGTTTAAACTGCGTTTTCCAAAACTTCTTGGTTTTCGAGTAATAAATTCGCGAAAATTTTGCCGGTTTTTAACTTTGACCCCCCGCCGCGTCTCCCCAAAATTTTTGGGGGGCTGGGAACTTTGGGAAAAGATGGGGCATTGTTAGGTGAGTGAATAGGGCAAGTCTCAAAGGTATCCGCCCCGAGCCCCAAATGGCCCGTTTTGCACGTAGTCCTTTCTTGGGAATGTACTTAAAGAGTACTGCTTTCTGGTCAGTCTGTTTTGGTAGACACCCTGCTAGCACCAATGTATTTTTTCGGAACACCCATGAAAAATCATCACCCAAAAAACCCATGAAAAAAAAAAAAAAACCCGTATGAATATAGAAATACGTTGGTGTAAGGGAGAGGGAGGAGGGCGGATTGGCGGCTAATGTGAAAGAACAGCGATTGGCGAGATAATCGCGCATGACGAAAAAAAAAAAAGAAAAAAACAAGCATCTGTACTTCTACTTGAAGAAGATATTGATCATTCATTAATTTGGGTTCAGTGATAGTTGTAAATTAATTGATGTTTTAAGTTCCAATGTATTAAATGCGATTTGATGAAAAGTAACTCTTCTTTAACGTTCTTACTATCTGAGCGGCAGCCATGTTGGCCACTTTTTTGGTTCTTGAAGAACCTCTATGGGCGTGTTACGGTATTCAGACCTCATTTTGGAAATCTGAGACCCACGGAACCTATGCAGGGACACCTCACTCGACAATACAAGCCTCAATAAAATATTTCACTTTGCCACGGCAGCCATTTTGGCCACCATATTGAATGTTTGGGCTGCAATAGACCTGTAGTAAAATTCGGACCTCATTGGTGAAATCTACGACCCAGAGTAGTACGGCAGTGATTTATTCACAGACAAAAAATTTCTAACGACTCCATCTCCATACGTGTATGGAGTTTGGATAATTTTCTTCATGGAAAAGCACCTGTTAAAAGTCGAACAAATATTTTCATAATTGCGACACTCGAGGAAAAAACCGTCCAAGGTGCGATAAATGAGCTCAAAATGGGACGAATATAATGTTCTAACAACCGGACATACTTTTACAAGCCTTTACAGTCCATCTAACATTCCAGCTCTCTATATACCTTCAAAAAAGATTGTAAAACCTTATTAGTGGAAAAATGTCCGCATTCTGATGATGATTTTTAAGTAATTGCGAATATTCCTGTAAGGTTTTTCTGAAGTTGTATTATATCCTTAGATTACAGTCTTAGTTTAATCTTTTTGATACTGATTTTTTCTTCTTTTTTTTTACACTATTTTATGGTCTCACGAATTATAAATAAAGAATTATTATTATCATTATCTCCCAACACAAACGTATCCACTAAATTTTCGAGAGAAGCATCCATTACACACAGATCTATTACTGATGAGCGTCTTGGCCCAATGTAAGTCAATTGTCCCTTTATGTCTTTTTGGCATCGACCGTTTAAAACCAGCAATCCTGAATCTTTAATCTTCAAAAATACGATCAACTTTTTTCCTTGCTTACTCACACTTTCATCTACAGATTTACGTTTATCTCTAATTATAGCAGATTAAGGCAGAGCTTTAGACGAGAACTCTTGTGAGCTCCCCATTCTTCCTTCAAGTACCCCATGTAGAAAATTTTTTGATCATTTTATTTCTCAACTGCCTGAGCCAACTCCTTCAAACTATCATTCCATTTTGTCTAGTTAGCAGTTGCCGAGTTGGCTCCCACCGCTAAATCCGAGTTGGCTCCCGTGTAAAACTGAATACAGAAACACTGATTAATGTGAATGGCAACGTTGCTTACCTCTGTTCCGAAGTAGGCGAGATGTGTTGATGATGAGACTGAAGATATTTGGGTATGGGTTGACAGAAAGTTCCCAAACTCTACTTTATAAGTAAATATAAAAAGTAAAATATAAGAACTTTCTCCCCCTCCCCTTGCCCTTCTTCAAAATCACCGGCGTATAAAAAATAATAAATAAACACACTATTAAAAAAAAACTTTGAGGGTGTATAGAGCCCTCCGCGTCAGAAAAAATAAAAAACAAAATATAAAGCCGTCAGTGAGCAATCGAGGTGTCGGTGTCCTTAAATTTCTGTATGTATTGCCTTGAATTTTAATTATAGTTTTAATGAAGCAAAATACGTTGGGGAATGTGCTAGGAAATTCCGCGTTAAATTTTGAGTGGAAAGACTCATTCCCATTTGTGGTTCTGTCCTCGGTCACGGAATCGGAAGCCCATAGTTCAGGAGGAAATTTGCATCCGGATTGAATGTACGTTTCTAGTACGTAGTCAAAAAAATCATCCAATGCCTGTTTATGCACGGGTTTTATAGACATGAGATCTTCATAAAAACACTCTTCAACCTGGGACGGTGGTAAGAGTGGTAAACCAAAAAAATGTTTTAAAATAGATCCAACTTCCGAATCTTTTTTTTAAAGTGTGTTGTAAGCCCCAGATTTTGCATTTTTCTCTACCAAGATTGAGGTAAATGGAATCTACATGCTCTTATTTTGACTGCTGGCCATGCAGCTCTAACACCTTTGTGTATGGCGGACTCAAAGGCAGCAAACACCAGAGAAACGTTAGGTACATAGCCTCGTAATTGATGTAAAGCATAGTAGTAAGTGGAGGCTTCTTTATCAGGGAGAAGGCAAAACACGAGAGGGATGAACCTTCCCATGAATTTGATTAATATGATAAAAACTTGATAAAATTGCTTGGGACAGCTATAAAATGTACAATCTACATAAACATTTACGCCATTTTTTCATGCTAACAAGTTCGTCAGACAAGTGAAAATTAAAATATTTTTTTCACTGTTTTGATGATGTAAAAAGTCTTCCCCCTGTTTTGTTGTAGTATCAAATTTTGCCACTTTTTCATGGAGGTCAGAAGTAGTTTTGGGTGAGCTAGGCACAGACCTTAATTTAGCAGCGCTTAGATTTTTTCGCAGTCTTGTAAGATCCTCTCCTGTCAGGTCGTCATCCCCTTGTTCGTCTATTTCATTCCTAATCAATTTACTCGGGCGCTCTGTGACAGAGGCTTCAACTTTACGTTTTAAACTATTGGAGATTTTTTGCCGGGATCAAGTAGGTGGGTCGTTCAGATTCTTTTTGACATTATGCTCTAAATTTGAGACGGTGATCTCTCCTGTTTTAATTTTTAAAAATGCGTCGCACCCACGTTTTACACATTGCCACCTCTCTTCGCCACCAGATAAGTTTTTTTGAAACCCGAATTTATAATTATTCACTATCACTAGCTTTTTGCCGTTTTCACTGAGCATGTATTCCAACTCCATGTCAACGACCAACTCGACGTTCGCGGGGCGACGTGCTGTTAATACTGAAATTAAACTCCGCATAGGAGCTAAGGTGAAGATACTTTGTTGACAAAATCTGCCCGCCGAGTCTCTTATCACTAATTAAAAGATAAAGATGACAATCGAGCTGTTTACCCACAAGAAACGTTCGCTGTCCACCTCCCAGCACTCATTCATCTCTGATCCATCTGATCAGGGAAAATGCAGCGTTGCCAGTCCATTTCTGTAATTTTATTACACTGGAGCCAACTCAGTACACTGGGGAAAAAAGTTACGGGAGCCAACTCGGAATTTCGGGAGCCAACTCGGTATCACCCGTCTAGTTCAAATACACTGGTATTACATAAAATTTTTCTACAATATGCAATTTTAGGATAGAATATGGATATGCCTCCAGAATTACACTCTCTTTAACATAGTTTACTGATTTGAATAACATTTAATACTTCTGTTTTGTGTAGATTTCAGTCCACAGGGATATAATTTATAGAGAGAAACCGTTTTCGGTTTAGTTCCCAAGACACACCGGAACCTGAGTATGAATGAAGACTTTAAGTATGATTTTCTGAAACCTGTTTTTTTATTTATACGCTGTTTGGTCAGGAAGGTCCTAATGTATAAAACAACAATTAAAATCCGAATGAATTGCTGTTATAATTTTTCATATACATTTTTCTCCTTCAAAGGGTCATATAAACAGAGACAGCCTCTTGTGAGCAATGGTCATTGACATTTTATTTGTTTGTGTTTTTAGTGTTTTACATGCATTTCCTGGCCAAAAGGCTGAACCAATTGAGCAAGTATAGTGTTGTCAGTCCCAAGAAATGGTCGAAAAATGGTACAATTTCAGTGTTTTCGGCGTTATACAGGCCTTTTGGGGCTAAATTGTGAAATAATAGGCGCTGAAACCTGAGAAACCATTGAATTTTTGTATTAGGGGTATTCTACACACTTTGAAGATCATTTTAAAAAAAAGTCAGGACCAAAAATGTTTTGCATTTCAAAAGTTACAAGCATTTGAAGGTAGTAAAGTTTTGCTCCTAAAATCTGGCAACATTTTCAGAAACATTCAAGTGTAGACTGTGAGTGAAAGTAGTTGAATTTTTGTCTTAAATTTAAATACTTTCATTGACATCACTTGAAATTTTCACTGCAGTCCGACAAAAAATGGGCCTGAGGTGAATTTNNGGGGGGGGGGGGAAATGACCTTTATCGTTTTATTCACCTTCAGTGTGTGTCTCTATTAGGCTTTAAGTTTATAGATGATATTCAACCCACTTTTAGCTGGCTTTAGCCACCTAGCACTGTTAAATGTTTGATAATGCATTTTTGTTTTCGTATGTAGGAAGACAAACTTAATGACAAATTTGTGTTTCCAGGTCAGTGAAACAATGTCGCATAATGGACTTGTTCCCAACAACTGTGATATGGAGCATTGCGACGATAAACCAATGCTCATTGTGAAACGCTCTGGTGACGGCCCAGGAATAACTGCTCTCATCAATAGGCAAATTCAGGGTAACTTCTATACTATCATTTTCAGTCATTGTCAATGTTATCCTTAGCATTATGGATGGAGCGGAATTTGTGGTGTAAATCCAAAGTGTAAAGCATGCAAGCAGAGGATTTTTTTTTTTTTTTTTTTTTTTTTTTTTNTTTTTTTTTTTTTTTTTTTTTTTTTTTTTTTTTTTGTATTTATTTCTATATGTGACAGTCTTTGGGGAAGAGGATCTTTGGATAGAGTATGGAAGCAGAGGAAAATTATTTTAGTCAATTTTGGTCGGATTAGAATTTGAGTCTTTTATGACAAATGCTCGAGAATATACCCAAGATATGTTATCCAAGGTCAAAGTTAGGTAAAAATTAGCATAAAACCGTATTTTTGCCGAATAAACATGGAAAGAAAATTTCATTGCATTCTGAGTCAGTGTGCTGATAAATAAAAATTTCTGGTTGACTTGGCATGCTCTAACCCCACAGTAATTATCAAAATATAACTTGTCTTTTATATTTTAAAGGATTCACACTTACTGGAGTTGTCACTCACAAAGTTTGTAGTAATCTCATGCTTTATTTTGGTCTCCTATCGAGCATTATTTTGCTAGGATAGATGTAGCTTTAGTGATGTTCGAATAATTACTTAATGCCTCTGCTAAAACCTCAAAGCTGTGTAAAATAAAATACAGTGACAGTGATACAGTAATTTATATACCATGAAGGTAGGAGAATAGTAGTAAAAAATGAATGCAAATAACATTTATTTTTCTGTAATTAGACCTTGTGTGTTGCCGCGCACTAGTAAAAAAAAAAGAAAAGTTCTGACCAAAAAACCGCGTGTACGCGACGACTCTCTCATTAGCTTGGTAGCAGAGCGCTGCGCCACTAGTGAATCCTGTAGGCACTATGACGAACCAAGCAGCCGCGCTCTATCAGAGAAACCGCGAACCTGTTGGTGTCTAGAGCTCTAACTTTTTAGCTTGTGCACGACGACTCGGTACTCACGAGTTGTCTGACCACCCAGTTTCTTAGTGTTAATGGAAAATTGAATGTAAGGATTTCTTAATTTTACATTCATAAATCAGCACAGTAAGCGTTACGAAGATCAGCGAAAAAGAAAACCTGATTTTAAAAGTTTGTTTTTCTGCATGTATATGCGGATGAAGTTAAAGAAAACTTACTGAAGGAAGTATTGATTCTGTTGTTTCGGAAATCTCTCTTCACGAAAACCTTTCCTCGTTTTTTCGCTCACCACGGCGAATAAAACAGCTTAAATCACGTCAATTAAAACTGGAAAAAAGGTTAGTATAACACTAAGAACTTAGAACGCCTTTTTTCCGCCCCTTCCTTTTTCCCGGAGGCTTTAACATAAAAACTCTTCGGGGTTTTTTCGCTCACCACGGCGAATAAAACAGCTTAAATCACGTCAATTAAAACTGGAAAAAAGGTTAGTATAACGCTAAGAACTTAGAACGCCTTTTTTCCGCCCCTTCCTTTTTCCCGGAGGCTTTAACATAAAAACTCTTCGGGGTTTTTTCGCTCACCACGGCGAATAAAACAACTTAACTCACTTCAATTAAAAAATAGGAAAGGTTAGTATAGCACTTTAAGTTAGAACGCCTCTTCCATCCACTGAATACTCTCATCACAAGAGCGTTTTTGTGTTTTCTTCGCTCACCATAGCGAATGAAAAGAACCCAAATAAATTGCATTGAAATCAAATAGAATCTCAAATAAAAAGCTAGTGCGGCTCACCCGAGCTCAGAACTTTACCTCCGCTTTACTTCTCCCGCAACGGAAGTCAAGTTAAAATTATTTAGAAACAATCCTTACAAAGAAAAATCCCAAACAGGGACTGCAAAACCCCGTAAAAACGGAAAGGCCATTTTTCCCGTAAGTCAATTGCAAAGTTTTATTAACCTTGCTTTCGGCCGCCCTGCAGGTCAGTTAGTAGGTTATTCTCTAAAGAATATAATCAAAATTATTCATCGCTTAGCGTGAATAAAACATATTACTCACTCATTCACTTAAAAAGCGCATCAGAAATTTCCCGCTCATTAAAGCATGGATGTAAGTTTCTGTAGAACTTCAGTATTCATTTTTCCAATGCGAAAATTATTATGTCTTAGAGAAAAACAGAGTTTTTTCCTGCTAAAAGCTACAAAGCAAAATTATTCAGGATTAAAATTAAAGTAGCTCCCACATTTATGCGAGCACCAATAACGAAGTGAGCTACTGCCTGTCTAGCTTCTCCCTTCAATTTTACTGGCTCTCAGCTAGCATCCGTTCCCGCGCAAAAATTAATCCCGAGCGGGAAATATGAATAAGAGAGAAAACCATCTCTTTGAATTTTCCCGCGCGAACATCACTCCTCATTGGCTCGTTGCATAATCGAAGCTCGGCCGAGCAAAATTCCAGGAGCCAATGAAATCATTCCAGCTTTGACCGTGCTTGCGCGCAGATCCCGCGCAGCACCCGACGCTCCACCTCCCCTCCCGCCTAGCCAGCACTTACCATCGTTAAAACTAGCATGCAGAGAACGGCACTTTCGTTCCCTTTGCTTTAAATCACTTCTAACAGTAACCTTCTTCACAAATCTACCATAAAACCTTGCAATATATTCCTAAGTTCACTTTACATCAGTGCTTAAGTACCCCAGGTCCCGCGTGTAACTGCTCGTTGTGAACATTTGATGAGCTTTTCTTATTCTCCGCACGCAAGTTTCCACGGAACTATTGTGTTTTCCGAAAAGTACTCGTTGAGAGCTATCAGTTACAATTATTAAAAATGCAGAAAGTCCAGATCCAAGATTAAAAACATCAGTTTATTCACTCCGCCGTTAGCACAAATCAGCCCAGCGACGCCTCTTCGGACGGGAGGTTTCGGGGTTTTGTTCCTTTTGGCTCTTGCGCTGTCATGGAGTACCCAGGGACCGGCTATTATCTTCACTTGTGTCTCAACTGCCGGACTGGACGGATCTCCCTTGGAACTCACTTGGACTGGACTCTCTCTCTCTCATCTTGGAAATTGGACTCGGACTCTTATGAAGGAAAAGGACTTGCCCTCAGCATCAGTCATGGATCAAGGACATGAAAGCGCTGTTCCGTTTTAAGTAGCGGAGGTCCCTTGCCTGCTTGAAGAACGAAGTTTGGAATCACCAGTCATGGATCAAGGACATGAAAGCGCTGTTCCTGTTTAGTAGCGGAGGTCCCTTGCCCGCTTGAAGAACGAAGTTTGGAATCAACTCTGGCAGCCTACATCTTGGACTAAAGGTCATTGAGATTGTACAAGAGGACGCACTTTTCTGGCTTTTTTCTCCTCGCTTATTCAAAGCGGCTTTTCTCCCCAGTCCAACGGAGCGGTTGACGAGACCAAGTCAAGGATTTGGAAAAGTGTCATATTATATGACAAAAATAGCTCAAGAAAGCTATCAAGTGATGCTACACTAACAATAATTTCTTTTCAGCTAAACCATTTGTATGTGAATATCCGACGGATATTTTCATACAAGGTTGACTTCTCCTTCAATAATCTCTTTTTTTCTTTTCTATCCTTTTCACTTTTTAAAACTCCCTAATTTAATATTTTCATCCTAGCGTACGTTGCAATTCACGCTAGTTGCAAGTACATGTTGGCTATTTCGTGTGCTTATGGCTTCACTTCTTTCCTAATATTATATCATCCTGACGTTTGATTGCAACCACGTCAGTTGCGAGTGTTCGCGGCTATTCCGAGCACTTAAGCTTTCGAATTCTCTCTTCATCTTCCTAGCGTACGCTTGACATTCACGTTAGTTGCGGGCATCCCCCCTGGTGCCTATGATAAAAATTATTTCTTACATCAATTAGGTTCATCTACCCCTATATCCTCATTTAATATTCCAATTCCAATTAATCCTAGCGTATGTTAAATTCACGCTAGTTGCGAGCGCTTTTGCACTCTGCAAGCGCTTACGTGTTTCTCGTATAATATTCCCAAATTTTAATCTCTCCGTCACGATCATCTCCAACCAATATTTCACCCTAGCGTATGTTAAAATTCACGCTAGTTGCGAGCGCTTTTGCACTCTGCAAACGCTTACGTGTTATTCATTTAAAATTCAAAAGTATTAATCATTCTCCAAGTTTTCTCATTTCTTCGTATCTGGATGTTATGGTCTTTGCCGGTTTCTGGCCACCTCGAAAATTAAACCGGCTGGTCCCTCGGAAATGAAGCTAATCTTTTTTCATCGGCTTGTGCCTTATTTTTGTTATATTTTTTTTTTTTTTTTTGAGGCCCCC